CTTCAAACTTCAGCGTTGGCTGCGATTTTGACGCTGAAATCGCGTTCGGTGTGAACGCACCATTAGTCAAATGAGAATCCAGAGTAATTCCAAGATATTTGTAGGTAGTGACAATATCAAGGAACAAGGAAGAGATTATAATTGCATTTAAAACATTCCATCAAATAAAACACCAGGCTTAGATGGGTTTAKAATAGAATTTTATAGAAATTTTGCTAAGGAACTTTCTCCCTTACTCCTTCAAATGTTTGATGAGCCTATGAATGGAGGCAGCTTGCCAACAACGTTATCAGAGGCGGTTATCACCCTAAACTTAAAAAAAAGACAAAGACCCACTAGACTGTAAAATCTACAGATCAATAAGCCTTATAAATTGTGACTATAAYATCCTAGCTAAGGTAATAGCAACCAGATTGGATAAGGTTATGACTAGCCTGGTACTCCCTGACCAGGTTGGATTCATTCACACATGAAACTCTTCTGGCAACATTAGAAGGCTAATATAATATTATGTGGACAGCCCAAAACAAACTCAACTGGGGACCTTCTCCCTGCCATGGCCCTCTCCCTGGATGCAGAAAAAGCATTTGACGGGGTGGAGTAGCACTACCTGTTCAGTGTATTAGAAGCATATGGCTTTGGCATAAAATATATTAGCTGGGTCAAATTGCTCTACTATAACCCTGGGGCTTCAGTATTAARAAATTGCATTATATCACAGCCTTTTGACCGACACAGAGGAACAAGGCAGGGAGCCCACTGCTTCTTTCTCTAGCCTTGGAACCTTTGGCAGCAAAAATACACAGGGACACAGATTTCCCGGGTATCCAAATTAATAATGTGAATCATAAGCTGATGCTTTATGCAGACGATGCCCTTGTCTTTGTTTGTTTCGCAACCGGAACGCTCCATATCTGCTCTTTTAAAAATTGTCAGTACACTCTCCAATATATCTGGATYTAAAGTCAATTGGTCAAAATCTGAAGCACTACCCCTGACAACCTTCTGCCCCAAAACTTTGTTTCAGCCAGGAAACTTTAGTTAGCCTAGAGCAGGCTTTAAATATCTAGGAATCATATTTCCTCATTCCTTGGCTAATATAATCCAGGTTCATTTTGAACCTTGATAAATTTAAATCTGATATAGCCCGATGGTCCCATTATTTCTCTCCCTATGGGACAAAGTTAATATAATCAAAATGAATTGCCTCCTGAAATTTAATTACCTACTGCAGTCATTCCCGCTTAAAATTCCACCAGAATATTTTCATCAGTTTGATAGACTATGCAACCAATTCATTTGGAATAATGAGCATCCTAGAATTAAACTCAGTAAACTACAATGACAAGAGGACTTGGGTGGTTTTGGTGTCCCAAATTTTCTATTCTATTACTCTGCATTTAGTTTGAGGCACATGATTCACTGGGCACTGTGGCACTGTCCCAGCCTCACCCCCTGAGGTTGGGAACCACTGTATTGTCAACAGGCATTTTTCTGAATAAGTGGATCTATCTTGAATATGTAGGATCTGTGTGGTAAACTCAGATAAAAGATGAAAATTTTCATCTTCTGTCTGGATTGTGACCTTTTGACACCCTGATGACATCCTTGTTTGCATATTTGTTTAATGAAATGTCATTTAAATCAAAGATCTAATCAATACAAATCTTCTAATAACATGTTAATGAAATTTTGTTTCCTGTATAGCAACCCTTAACTTTGATGGTCACAATGGAAAAGGGGTGTGGTCACAAGTGGTCCGTGGGGTCYGTGAGACCCAGCTCTTTTTCTGTTGACATGCATTTTCTGAAAGAGTGGAGCCTACTGTACATGAAAATATCAGAGAAGTTCAGTAGTGTGGGGGATGGGGAGGCTCTCAGATTGACTAGGAAGTTGGGGGGAGGGCTGTCAGGATAATAGGTTGGGAACCACTGCTCTAGTCTAGAATCTCTGTAACCCTAACCCTGCAGTAAGGAGTAACTATCAAAAACCTCAAAGATATAAGATCACAGCTCCTACGAAACTAGTTTTAACAATTTCTACAAAAGCAACAGGATACAGTTTTACCAGTTCAAATTTCTGTTTTTATAGAAAAGCTGGATTTCTAAGCTGGATTGTTCATTAATACAGACAGAACATGTCATTTGACTTCTAGTGTTGTAGTAGTGGGTGCTGTGGCAAACTCAGATAGATAGAAAACATAATCAGATATATGAGGAACAGTGATGTAAGAACATACTCTTTAATGAAATATAATAATGGAACAAGCATACAGTCCTGTTTATTTTTTATTCTATTTTAATCTATAGATTAAAAATTATTAGAGCTGATAAAATATTTGTCAGCCTGCATTTCAAATGACTTGTGGGTTATTTCATTGTTTGCAGCAGAGCTCTACTGTTTTCTCTCTTTCCAGTATAATTCTTCTTCATCTGAAACTGTTCCTGCATGAAAACCATAGTTTTAAAATGAAAAGCACATCTAAACTGGGTTTTGGTGTAATAACAAAATCTCACGTTTAAGACATGTCTCATGTTTTAAACAAGAAACTTTGTTCTGTGTCTTCAGAGTCACACTTGTGCATTATCTAACTCTTCTTGGTTATTGACACCTACTCATTGTTCTTGTTGCCTCAAACACATTTCATATTGTGGTTTTCATGTCTGACACTTTTTTTCCCATCCATCTCTGTCTCTAGAGTGTGCAATGTTCTGCTGTAAGTACAGTGTGAAGCTTTCCTCTCTGTGCTGTGTTTGTGGTGGATTGTGTTCAGAGAATGGCCTCACAGATTTCAAGCATGATGGATGCAAACTGTGGTGCTGCCTTTTGACCTGTTTTTTAAATTGATTTAAGCTGATGCTCCCACTCAGAGGATGAGTTTGTTCTCAGTCTGGATTCTGTTCYTTGTTTGGCTGAAGGTTGACTGTAACTTTATGAAGTTGAAATATTTATTATTTCTCACTTTACTTATGTCATTCTGTTTGTTTTTCATCAGACGTTATGGCTTCAGTAAGCAGTCAAAACAAGACAAAGTAGGTACCAAAATGATGTTGCATTTTTTGAACATAATCTCTATTCTCTCACTGTACTGGAGTTTACATGAGATGAGCATGAATACTGTGTTTAGAAGCAAGTACAAATACTTCCCAAAACAGAGTGATGAAACAAGTACTAATAAATGTCATTACACATATTACAATTACTTTAAAAGTGTGTTTGTTTAAAAATCTGAGGAGCTTTCTTTTCATGCTAACTCCTCAAACGAAGCAGGATAACAATTTCTCCTAAGCTCCCATTTTTGAGTGGTAAAGCTAGATTTATACTCGATGCGTCGRGCAGGGTGCGCACGCCAAAGGTGACGCAATAGTGCCATCCCCGCCCCTGCACATTGGCCCCGCGCGCCGTTTTGGCGCGTGTCGTGCACCTCCGATTTTTTGAAACTCCACAAAGGCTAGTGCGTGCGCCATTGACGACGGATGCGAAGCTGCTCTTGCTGAATGTATCCGGATATGCCAACATTTATATGATCCCTCTAGGAGAGATCATAAAGATGTTCAAATGGCACAAAATGTTTGGAAGGAGATCACTGAAGCGATGCAGAAAGATGAATCTGTGTGTAGAAAGGCGTGGAAGAATGAATTGCATGTTCTAGTAATGTATGAAGTAAATTTACTTATCTGAAAAATAAACCTAAAAATGTCCTTAAAAAGAATTACTCCTTTGATCAGTACTAATAAAAAACTTGATTTTTAATAACAAAATTAAAATTTTGGGATTTTTCCTGTTTCATAGTTTCAAGTCTGTTTCATACCTACAGTGGTTTGCAAAAGTATTCATACCCCTTGAACTTTTCCATATTTTGTCACATTACAACCACAAACATAAATATATTTCACTGGAATTTAATGTGAAAGACCAACACAAAGTGGTATACAATTGTGAAGTGGAAGCAAAATTTTACATGAATCAAAACATTTTTTACAAATAAAAAACTGAAAAGTGCGACGTGCAAAAGTATTCAGCCCCCTTTTCACTGAGTGCAACCAATTGCATTCAGAAGTTGCCTGATGACTGCTAATGACTCAAAAGGGTCCACCTGTGTGTAATCTAATCTCAGTACAAATACAGCTGCTCCGTGACGGCCTCAGATGTTGGTTAAATGGAAATGGAAAGAGTATGGCACCACAGTAAACCTGCCAAGACAAGGCCGTCCACCTAAACTTACAGGCCGAACAAGGAGATCACTGATCAGAGAGGCAGCCAAGAGGCCCATGGTGACTCTGGATGAAATGCAGAGAGCCACAGCTCAGGTGGGGGAAACTGTCCACAGGACAACAATTAGTCGTGCACTACACAAATGTGGTCTTTATGGAAGAGTGGCAAGGAGAAAGCCATTGTTAAAAGAAAACCATAAGAAGTCCCGTTTGCAGTTTGCCAGAAGCCATGTTGAGGACACAGCAAACATGTGGAAGAAGGTGCTTTGGTCAGACGAGACCAAAATTGAACTTTTTGGCCACAATGCAAAACGCTATGTGTGGCGGAGAAAGAACACTGCACATCACTCTGAAAACACCATCCCCACTGTCAAATATGGTGGTGGCAGCATCATGCTCTGGGGGTGCTTCTCTTCAGCAGGGACCGGGAAGTTGGTCAAAGTTGATGGGAAGATGGATGGAGCCAAATACAGGGCAATCTTGGAAGAAAACCTGTTTGAGTCAGCAAAAGATTTGAGACTGGGGCGGAGGTTCACCTTCCAGCAGGACAACGACCCTAAACATAAAGCCAAAGCTACAATGGAGTGGTTTAAAAAAAAGAATATTCATGTGTTAGAATGGCCCAGTCAAAGTCCAGACCTAAACCCAATTGAGAATTTGTGGCAAGATCTCAAAACTGCTGTTCACAAACGCTCTCCATCCAATCTGACTGAGCTTGAGCTGTTTTGCAAGGAGGAATGGGCAAGAATTGCAGTCACTAGATGTGCAAAGCTGGTGGAGACATACCCTAAAAGACTTGCAGCTGTAATTGCAGCAAAAGGTGGCTCCACAAAGTATTGACTCAGGGGGGCTGAATAATTTTGCACATCGCACTTTTCAGTTTTTTATTTGTAAAAAATGTTTTGATTCATGTAAAATTTTGCTTCCACTTCACAATTGTATACCACTTTGTGTTGGTCTTTCACATTAAATTCCAGTGAAATATATTTATGTTTGTGGTTGTAATGTGACAAAATATGGAAAAGTTCAAGGGGTATGAATACTTTTGCAAACCACTGTAATTTTATAGAGTGAAACTGTTGATGATTTTGAGAATAAGACAATATGCAAACAAAACTGAGAAGGAAAGTTGCATTGGATATTTCAATGTAGTTTCATTTTATTTAACATCATTTACACTCCAAAATTGACTTAAAAACTAAAGGTACAAGGCCAAAACAGGAGGCAGCACGGGCAAATCTGGCAGATAGCTCCACACTTGGTTAGCAAAGAAAAAACAACTTCAAAATTAAAATAAGAACATGAATGAAAAAAATAGAAACAAAATTAAGTTGTGTGACGTCATACATTTCTTCTACGCCCGTTTTTCTTCTTCTACACCCATTTCTTACAACCTCTGCACAGGTTAAAGGGTAATGCCACGTGCTGGTTAGTAAAAACAGCACTTTGCACCACCGCGCGTCAACTATAAACACAGCGGCGAAACTATAAACGCAGAAGCTGCACAGCACAGTGCGCGCGCACTCCGCGCGCTCGAGCTTGCGGACCAAAGCGCGAATATATCCCAGCCTTCATATGGTCAAGAAGCTCGGGTTCAGATAATTTTCCAACTGGAGACTGGACTTGAAGCCTGAAGTTGAAGCCACAAAGGACGATTGGCCCCCAGTGGCTGGCTGCAGTGCAATTTTTAAGTCCCTCTGCTCCATGTCCTTTGTGATATTTTTCCGACCAAAACATATCAATACACTTTAGGCCATTATTTTTTCAGGTTGTGATATTTGCTTTTGTATAGCTCCTACCTTGCTTCTGTATTTTGGAAGACTTGTGAAATGATGTTATTTAGTAGCTTTGATTGTTGGTGTTTATGAGCTGCCAGCAATCTTCCTTTTCTCAGGTCGACGAGGGAAAGTCTTCACTGGGCAGGGGCTATCAGGTGGGCCCCACTGGAATGGTCGAGGTGTCAGAAGATGATGACCTGCAAGCAGCAGAGGAGGTAAAGACTTCTAGTTCTTTGGACAAAATAGGGGGGAAAATGTCTTCTGAATGGTTTATTTGAAGAAATTAATGTTAAGACACATTAAACAATTAAGCCAACAGCTACATATGGAACAGTTTATCTGTTATTTAAAAAGAAAAAATAAGTAGGTCCTCTGGATGGGTTCTTCTTTAATGAAACATTTCGTCTCTCCTCCAAGAGACTTCTTCAGTTTGAGGAGTTTCAGGTGAACTCAGCCTTATAAGCACTGCCTCCACATGGTGGACAAACAGGTTGATCACCATCAGCCAAAAAATAGGTCGTTAGTGCCTTGATTAGCTCTGTTGTGAATAGAGGGTCATGTGCCCCATCACCTGACTATCATTGGGGCCCTGATTCACACCTTTTGCTCACAGGGGGCTGAGTCATATTTGCGATAACAGCATTGTAGGAGGAGGACAACTGGACACGAAGGTCTCCACCCCTGTTTAATGGTGGATGGGTTTTCTTCACAAAAAATAGCTTCCTTTACTCCTCTCTCAAACCAGCATTCCTCTCTATCAAGGATGAGAACATCTTCATCCTTGAAAGAGTGACCGCTGGCCTGTAGATGAGTGTAAACTGCAGAGTCCTGGCCTGATGATGTTGCTCGTCTGTGCTGGCTCATTCTTTTGAACAGTGGCTGCTTTGTTTCCTCGATGTATAACTGATCACAATCCTCCTGACACTTAACAGCATATACATTATTACTCTGTTTGTGCCGGGAACTGGATCTTTGAGGTGAACCAATCTTTGCCGTAATGTGTTTTGGAGTTAAAAAGCCACTGGGACATCAGAAGAAATGTTTCAGTTTCTCTGAAACACCTGCCACATATGGAATGATGATTGGTTTGGGTCTGGGTTTGGGGTCTTCATTTTCACCTGGTTGTTGGCTGCAGTCCTCTTTGGGTTTCTTGTCTGCCTTCAGAAAAGTCCAGTTAGAATAACCTCACTGCTCCAGGGCCTGTATTGTGTGTGATTTCTCTTTCTCCCTGGCTCCTGGGTTTGGGGGACCCTGTCTGCTGAGTGGAAAAGAGAGCTCTAATGTCCTTTTTAAGGACACCACCGAGCCATTGGTTCAGGTATGTTGATGACACCTGGGTTAAAATTAAATACCAGGAAGTCCAACATTTCACTGATCACATCAACTCTGTGGATAAATATACAGTATAAAGTTCACACGAGAGGATGTAAAAGATGGCAGGTTGGCATTCCTGGACTGTGATGTCTCAGTTTCTGATGGAGGATGGTTGGAAACAGACGTGTATCACAAACTTACCCACACAGACCAGTATTTGCGTTTTGACTCCCATCACCCACTGGAACACAAGTTAGGAGTCATCAGAAAGAGAAGTCACACACAAGACAGGCCCTGGAGCAGTGCGGTTATCCTAACTGGGCTTTTCTGAAAGCAGACAAGAAACRRAAACWGGARTCCAGCCAACAACCAGGTGAAAATGAAGACCCCAAACCAGTCGTCATTCCGTATATTGTGGGCGTTTAAGAGAAACTGAGACAAGCAACATCTACAGGCCAGGACTCTGTAGTTTACACTCATCTACAGGCCAGCGGTCACTCTTTCAGGGACAAAGATGTTCTCATCCTTGATAGAGAGGAACGTTGGTTTGAGAGAAGAGTAAAGGAAGCCCTTTTTGTGAAGAAAACCCGTTCATCATTAAACGGATTGAGACCTTCGTGTCCAGTTGTCCTCCTCCTGCAATGCTGTTATTGCAAGTATGACTCAGCCCCCTGTGAGCAAAATGTGTGAATCAGGGCCCCAATGATAGTCAGGTGATGGGGCACATGACCCTCTATTCACAATAGAGGCAATCAAGGCACTAACGACCTATCATTAGGCTGATGGTCCTCTTTTGCATGTGACTAACTAACGTGTTTGTCCACCTTGTGGAGGCAGTGCTTATAAGGCTGAGTTCACCTGAAACTCCTCAGACTGAAGAAGTCTCTTGGAGGATTGCTGAAATGTTTCATTAAAGAAGAACCCATCCAGAGGACCTACTTTTTTTTATTTTTTATTTTTCTTCCTGGATCACTGAGATGCATCAAGACATTTATCTGTTATTGTTTTTCTAATCAGATTAATGAAGTATAATAGGTTTAGGCATTGGTTGAAAAAAAAGGACTGTAGATGAAGCTGATAAAAAATGGAGCTGATGTAACAACCGCTCTCAGATTTGTGAAAATCTACTACTACTTTATTTCTAAAGCACTGTAAAACAACCACAGCTGCAACAAAGTGCTGTACTTATAAAATCAAAAACATGAAAAACACAAAACAAAGATTAAAAACAATGAAAAACAATAAAATAGGAATAAAACTAAAAACAAGTCTCAGGCTGTGCCAAAAGACAGGGAGTAGAAATGTGTTTTTAGACAAGTTTTAAAAGTGGACTGTGATAAATCCTGTGATAAGTTTGAGTTTTTTTTTTTTTTTTTTCATTTAGATACGAATAAAATCCCTGATGACAAACATGGCTGCAATGGCTAATGAAGAGGTGAGTAAGATCCAAACAGAACCACACATTTCTAACAAAACCACATGATCCAAATGCCTCCAACAGAATCAAACATTTGAAATCATCATCGTTGTATCTAACATGAGATACACTCACAGACAAAACTGTTGGTACTCATTGTTTAATGAAAAAAAAAKCCACAGTGGTCACAGAAATAAATAGAATCTGACAAAAAGTAATAATAAATTTAAAAAAATTTAGCAAATGAACAAAAATAAAGTCAGACATTGCTTTTCAACCATGCTTCAACAATTTGTCTTTATTAAAACTCATGAAACAGGTCTGGAAAGGAATGTTGGTGCCCCTGAAAATAATGTGGCCAAGGGGACATGTTAAAATCAATGAGTGTCCACAAAATTGCATCACAGGTGTTAAAGGTAAAGGTTATAAGACCGTCTCCAAGCAGCTTGATGTTCCTGTGACTACAGTTGCACATATTCAGAAATTTAAGATCTATGGGACTGTAGCCAACCTCCCAGGATGTGGCTGCAGGAGGAAAATTGATGACTAATCAAAGAGACTGATGATATGAATTGTAACAAAAGAGCCCAGAAAAACTTCTAAAGAGATTAAAGGTGCTCAAGGAACATCTTTGTCAGATTGCACCATCTGTTATTTTTTGAGCCAAGGAGTTGAAAACAAATCATAAAAAAGCTGGAATTTGCTAAAGTACATGTTGAGGAGCCACTAAGCTTCTGGGAGAATGTCCTCTGGACAGATGAGACAAAAATGGAGCCTTTTGATAAGGCACATCAGCTCTATTTTCACAGAGGGAAAAATGAAGCATATCAAGAAAAGAACACTGTCGCTATTGTGAAACATTGAGGAGGCTCTGTTATGTTCTGGAGCTGCTTTGCTGCATCTGGCACAGGGCGTCTTGAATCTGTGCAGGGTACAATGAAATCTCAAGACTATCAAGGGATTCTAGAGAGAAATGTGCTGCCCAGTGTCAGAAAGTTTGGTCTCAGGCACAGGTCATAGCCGCTTCTTCGTTTCAGGGTCACGGGGATTACTGGTGCCCATATCCAGCAGTCACAGTGCGAGGGGCGGGGTACACCCTGGACAGATCGCAAGTCCATCACAGGGCCACGCATAGAGACAAATGAGACAAACGACCATTCACTGTCTCACTCACATCTAGGGAGAATTTTAGTTACCAATTGGCTGTAAACAAACAGAAACTTGTAAATAACTTATGAAAGAATAAAGTTGAAAGAATAGACATGAAACATTCATGAAAGAATAAAGGTATGTTAAAAGAATGTTAAAACCAAGCATACCGTTGTTTTTCTTGTGAAATTCTCAATACGTTTGATGTGTCATATGACCCTCTTCCTATTAAAAAAACTAACTAAAACTGGATCCAAAATGGCTGACTTCAAAATGGCCACCATGGTCACCAACCATCATGAAAAGTTTCCCCCTCCCAAATACTAATGTGCCACAAACAGTTAGCTAATATCACCAACCATTCCCATTTATTTAGGTGTATCCATATTAATGGCCCACCCTGTATGCATAAAAACATTGACAAGTCATATGAAGTAAATTAGTTTGAATGACAGCTTGTGACAGATTTCTTTTTTTTTTTGTAGGGCAAACTGACTGCAAGCGCAGTAGGTCATATAGTTGGACTGCAGTCTGAGGAGATCAAACAGATTYCCTCTGAATATGCTGAGAAGGTAAGTAGCTTCATAATGTTGGAAACATGAAGCTATCTCTTTTGTGCTGTTGAACATGGCAGCATCCAGGTTTATTCTGTCTGAAACATCAGTCAGATTGTGTGGGTGTGTTACGTCCCCTGGCTTGGTCTAGGAGTTGAAAGGAACTAACATAAATCTAGACAATGAAGGAGGAGTCAAAATGGCATTTAAGATGTTTATTTTCTGCCATGTTTTAAGTTTCTTTTCTATAAAGACTGATTCAAAGACTTCAGGGAGAGCTCAGGCCAAAATAACAAACAAAACAACCCTGAAATAAAAATAAAATTTAAACTTACCTAACCCCAGTGAAAATAAAATATACAAACCTAAAATAACCTTACCTAACAAACACATAAACAGGAGAAAACTAAGGTTAAACAAAAAGCAGCTCTCCCCTACAAAATCAGTCTGGCCAAGTTTACATTAGTTTGTAAAATAAAGAACCCTTAGCTGACAACAATCAATGGTGTATGGCAGTCAAGTGGCCCATAGGCGCAGGAGTGCAGCTTCACAGCCATTAAATAGGGCCCAGCTAATTGATTGGCTTGAGACCCAAGGAGCAGCACCCAATCGCAGGAGAGACACATGAGAGGAGGAGGAGCCTAAAAGAAGACACAAAGCATTACTTCAATGGAAAAAACAAACATCCACACTGGGGATGTAACAGGGTGATTCAGTATATAGCAATGTTCACTACTGTAATATCAATAAGCACAAGATCTTGAACTTCAAATTTATCAAAAGTTCAGTGATTTAAATCTTGTTTTTAGGGTCTTCCATGGATGTTCTCCAGCTTTTAAACTCATTTCTGTACAAAACCAGAATAAACACTAGATATCAGACTAGAGGAGAGTGTATCAGAACAAGGAGAACAGAGTTTGGGTGAAAGGTGCTGTGCGTAGTACTTAAAAATCTATAAATGTAATGAAAGAAAGGCATCTTGAGAGGGGACTCGAGTGAGTGGGGACCATTGTCCTGTAGTAATCTAGTGATTTTCTTTGCAGCAGTTCGAGTTGACTTCAGAGGAGCGATTGGATCGGTATGGTACCTTACAGCAGCACCACAGGGCAGTTGCCTCTATTCACAAACAAATTCAACAGAAGACCAAGCAACTGGAGGAGGTTAGCAGTCCTCTGTGGTCACACATCCCATTATTGATTGTATCAGACTGCTTCAGTGTAGGGAAACATTTTTTTTGTACTTGTCTGGAAATTGTGGGGTGAAAGTAGACAGAACTAGAGATTAGATCCAGATACAGACAGTTTCTCAGACAGTCAACTATACATGGAATATTTTAAGGTAGTTGTTGGAACTGTAAAAATGGATGCACTGTTATGTGTTGGCTTGAATTAGAACCTTAAATTTTAAGATTATAACATCTTTAATATTTGATTCTGTGCCTTGAATAAACTTATCTGGTAGTGCTTCCTTACTCTGCTTCACAAATTAAAAGAAGTGGCCATCTGTATCCATCTGTAATTTATCATGGAGTCCCCTTATCGTTGAAACAGAAATATAAACGGCAACTAAGGACCACAACATTCAATATGCGAAGGCTGTTAACACGATTTTTAGTAAGCATAGTACCAAAATTACACTTGTTGCTGCAGTTTCCTCTACCTCTTATCCACTGCATGGGATCCAGTAGATCAGGCACCTGACTGAAGTTATTTTTCTAAAAGTTTAGGTCATGATTTGAAAAAGGCTCTCTGCTAAGTGTTTTCATTCCAACAGCTCAAAACCAAGCATGCAGAGGTGAAGACTGGCTGTAAAGATGCCAAGAAGAAGCTGATTGAGGTAGATACCTTCAGTCTCTGTCTTGTATGGATTACAATATTTTTCACAGGGACCTAACAGGAAAATACTACCAATTAACTGAGATTTGTCTTTTCTATCTCTGTTCACCTGCATCCATACGGAGCTCTTGTTTGTTTGTTTGTTTGTTTGTTTTGTTTTGTTTTATGCTACTGTTGGAAATGAACAACTTTGTTGTCACAATGAGACTTTGTTGGCAAAATTTCATCAGATCACATTGTGGTTTCTGGAAAGAAACTACAGTCAGTGTCCATTTTTAATATTGTTGAAATTATTATTTTGTGGTGGCTCTGGCAGAGTGGTTAGGGGAGTCATCCTGCAACCGGAGGGTTGCTGGTTCAATCCCCTGTCTCAGCCATTATGTCCTTGGGCAAGACGCTTCACCCGCCTTGCCTACTGATGTTGGTCAGAGGGTCCAGTGGTGCCAGTGCATGGCAGCCCCACCTCTGTCAGTGTGTCCCAGGACAGCTGTGGCTATAGCTTACTATTATCAGTGTGTGAATGGGTGATTGTTGTGTAAAACGCTTTGGAGTCCCCGTGGGGCGCAATAAAGTGTAATAAAAGTGCAGGAGGAAGCCGGAGTACCTGGAGAGAACCCACACATGCACAGAGAGAACATGCAAACTCTACCCAGAAAGGTCCCTGGGCCAGGATTTGATCCAGCAACCTTCTTGCTGAGAGGCATCAGCTCTACCAACTGTGTCACTACCACTGTGCTGCTCCATTTTATTATTATTATTATTATTATTATTATTATTATTATTATTATTATTATTTAAACATTTTTTTTAACACAGTAGATCTCATTGAGATTAAATGTCTTTTTCAAGAGAGACCTGGCCAGCAGCACACAGACATAATCAAGGTTTCCCCTACATGTAATTGATCGTGGCGCACTGCCACGGCAAAATAAAAGCTGCCACACTTTCAGAAAAAAGTTTTTTTTCTCTTTTTTAAATAATAGGCCTATATTAGGCTAAAACAGTGTAAAGCATACATTATATATTTATATCCTATATTTGCACTCTTATACTAACCATAATCAGACTTTGAAACCCTATTTAAACATTAATGAAAAGTTAGGATATACTTTATTTTGAAAAAACAACACTGTGGGTTCTTGTGCGCAGCGAGGCTATGTCTGTGCATATTCCCCACAAAGATTGCAAGGAGCATGTGTGTGATGTGACGCGCGATGAAAACTGATGTGACAGATTTGCAAGCTACTTTTTTTCTTTCAAGGAAGACAGGACAGGTGAAGCTACAGCATGGTTACCTTATCAGTAATTACTCAGAAACAGCAAGAATCACCAACACAGACCCCGCGTGTGACCGGGAGTCAGCTCGTCTGTCAGGTGAAAATGAAGACCCCAAACCCAGACCCAAACCAGTGGTTATTCCGTATGTTGCYGGTGTTTCGGAGAAACTGAGACGTTTATTTTCTAAACATGATGTCCCAGTGGCTTTCAAACCCCAAAACACATTACGGCAAAAGCTGGTTCACCCCAAGGATCCGGTGCCCCGGCACAAACAGAGCAATGTTGTATATGCTGTTAAGTGCCAGGAGGACTGCGACCAGTTATACATCGGGGAAACAAAGCAGCCACTGTTCAAAAGAATGTCCCAACACAGACGAGCTACGTCTAATGGCCAGAACTCTGCATTTTTCACTCATTTATAGGCCAGCGGTCACTCTTTCAGAGATGAGGATGTTCTCATTCTTGATAGAGAGGAACGTTGGTTTGAGAGAGGAGTAAAAGAAGCCATTTTTGTGAAGAAAGACCGTCCATCATTAAACAGAGGTATAGGCCTCCGTTTTCAGTTGTCCCCCTCCTACAGCGCGGCTATTGCCAGTATCACTCCACCCCACARACCCATATAAGGTAAAATAGGATTAAAATAGAGTACAGTTAAAATATTTACAAACAAACCTCATCTTCAAGCTAGTAATACACAATATATACTGTACAATACACGGTAGAAACGATAGACATTTGCCTTATGATAAAGGCCTGTTGTCTACTGGCTAACCGCAGGAATGCTCGTTGTTGAGGTCATCAGCAGGCGTCGATGTTTAGAGCAACTAGAGAGCAGCATGGCTGAGAGCAGCGCAAGTGAAGAGCTAGTAAAGAAGGCAGGAGCAAAAACGTCAATATGGACCAGTTTGGGTATAAGCAGTCAGACCATGACCAGAAAAATGTCATCTGCAAAGGGAGGTAATACCAGCAAAATGACACTAAACTAATATTTAACAACTTTATCAACAGAGAAAAGCTTGAAAGACCCCTGGACCGAGCGTGCAATTTGTAATTGAGAGTGCCTTTTCCCATTCTTGGATAAAGAAAAAAGCGCTGACCAAAGTCCACGCAGAGCATCAACTTCCCTTTCACCGGCTCATCACGGAAACGCCAACAAGATGATTCAGAGAGTGCTTGAACATGAGAAGGCGATATGTCAGGTACTGAAAGCAGACAAGAAAACAAGACACCTTGTACCTACTTGGCAGAACATTGATGTCTTGGAGTCTGTAAGCAAGACCTTGGACCCATTTGCTGGAGTTCACAGACACACTGTCTGGTGAACAATATGTTACCCTGGATTTATACTACATGCGTCTCCGCTGCGCTACACTCCGCAGGTCGCAGCTGTGCGTTTCAAGTCCAGTTTACTCTACCTCCGCACCGCTCCTGTCCGACAGACGTGCAGGAAGCAGATTGCGCGATAAATTCAGTGATAAATGTGGAAGTCACAGCAAAAAAATAATTAATTCTGTGAAAGACGAACTCCAAGCACAGCTMAAAACATTGATATAAAGGCTTTTGGTATCTATGTTGAAACTGTCTCGCTGTCTGCTTTCTGAAACTTCTGATTTCAAAATAAAATCCACGAGAATCATGTGTGTACACATATGCTTCATGCTACGTTTCCATCTGCTTCCCAAACAGAACSATACATTCTGACAGCATTTGTGTAGAAATATATCCGTATATCTATTAATATAGCTGCAATTTCGACATTATTCCAACAAATTATTCCGCCGAATAGTGTCTTATTTTGAAAATACGGATGTTGTGCTCGTGTCTTTTCCTGTTGGTGCGACATAATCATTAAAAATTGACTCCGGCATCTGGCAAAAATAGGATCTGTTCTAATTTTGACGGATCGCCGTCTGCTCACCACCGCCCTGCGCCGCCGTGCGCAGCCAGTGTAAACACTCTCATTGGGCCTCATGCAAGAACCGTTCGTACGCACAGATTTGTTCTTAAGTTGTGCGTACAAGTGATTTAGGAGAATTTGTGGCATTCACCAATGTTTTCGTATTCTAAGATTTTTTTCAGATACGAACAATATTTACGAGTGGTCCAGACCTGTTGTATATTTTACGAGCAGTCAGTCTGCTGTTATCCAGATGGATTTTCCTCCCTAATAACTTTATATTTCGTTAGTTTGAAGATATTTTGAGTCCCTCCAGTGAGTCCTGGGTTTTCTCCAAAGTGCCAGACTTATTTTGAAAACATTTTAAAATGCTTATTTCAGAAC